TAGTGCTGTCCTGCTGAACTGGACACATAGTGTGCACTGGCATTCTGAGAGCAGATCTGGCTGTGTGTCCCAGGTGCATCTATTGCAGACACTTGCAGGGGAAGGAAGAGGAGAGTGACAAAAGAGGCATGCAAGTCAGTTCTGGAGACACCAAGTGGGCAGCCCTTCAGGAAGGGATGGTTCATCTTGATGTCTTCAGTGTTGAAGTAAGGTGGGTTAGACTAGGTAAATTTAGGGCTGAAAAACCTTGAAACACAGACATTTCTTAAATGACTAATATGCCTATGTGCAGAGATGAGCATGGATCTGAGCTGGCATCTTAAGATAATAAGGAAGACAAAACATCAAATGATCTTGTCTCTACTCTGCCTGTCTTTATTGCTCTCACCCCGCCTCAGTACCACTTGATGTGACATCATGTGTACCATTGTGTTAGGGCAGACACAAGAGACCTCTGGTATATGTGGCCAATTCAGCAACAGGAGTCAAGGAATTAATCATACCCGTGACTGAAAAAAAATGAAAAAAGGGAATGCTCATAGTTGTTCTGGGGCTGGTAAGACTGATAAATGGACAAAATGAGCTTCAAGTTACATTTCTCTATGGGACCAAGTGGAACCAAAATACAAGTTCTGAGATGGGATCGATTACCAGTGATTTTGTCCACTAACATATCCAGAAAAATTGCTGAAATACAGAAGAGGACAATCTCCTGTGCTCACCTCCCAAGTGTGGGCTATTTTCAGAAGAAAGCCGGTTGGTATTTAGAGCTGGGCAGTAGAGACTGGATAGTGTACTTGTTGATGTTAGATCATTTTTGGATTCTTAATTCTGATACCAGTGCTTTTCAATATAGCAAGCAGGCAAGGCAGATTTAAGCAGGGAAGTTAGTGCTAAGTAATATTGGTGGAATACTTCTTTAGTTCGATGGGGTATCTTGAAATATTAGAAGCTGTCACATACATTTGAGTGTAAATTGATCTTGCCAATGGCCATTGTATGGCCAGGGTGACCATTAACCTATGGCTTTAAGCAGGAGCACAGTGGAGAGAGAAGAGATGATGTTGGCAGCTGTATTGAGACAATAAATGTGATAATGTCTGTGCGGGACACTTTGGGGCATATGGACTTTGGAAATTTATACCGGGTGCATGGAAACAAGTGTTCACTTAATCAGTCCCTCTGTGATGTGTGAGTTTTTCGTTAAGTGCCATTATTTTATATTCGCTGCAGGGAGTCTTCCCTAGGAGTGGGGACTTTCATGACAAATCTATCCTGGGCTTCAGTGGGACCAGATTTTGTTGTTCCCCCTTTTCTCATTTTACCTCATCCTGTGCCTTCCACGTCACTCCCTCATTGCTAAGACACAAGGAGGGGAAAGATCATAGCATTGCTGCAGAGAGGAATTTCAGTATGGGGAAGCCCGTTTTAGTTGTTCCTAAAGAAAGGCGTGTTGTTACCCATTTTCCTGGCTTAAGTTCTCTGCCCCAAAATACTCCACCTAAGATTTAAAAAAAAAAAAAAAAAAAAAAAGGAGGAGGGACTCTTATGCTTGGAAACAAACAAATGGACAGAGCCTAGGCTTATTGTCTTTTATCTATAGAAAAATAGCCTTTAAATGTTAATTTGTGTGCAATGTTCCAACAAAAACCAGTAAGATCATTCTCATGTCACTAACAAGCTTTAATAATGCTCTTTGGGTGAAACTTCTTGGCTTATTATAACTTAGGGATGCCTCATTTTTCACACGCAGGAACTGTGGATACAATATTCACAGTATGTGAAATGGATGAAGTCAAAGACTGGCAGGACGTCATCCAACCAGACTTGGCTTAGGGAATTGGTTATAGGACTCCTGCAGATGAGCTGCTAGGCTGGTTTCACGAACTAATAAGAACTTGATAAGAAGTGGAATGATTTACATTCAAATCCTAAGGATTTGAGTGGGTTAGGGGCAAGGATTAGGGAAAGAAAGATGGACGATCTTGGATTCAGTTTGTCATAAGGACAGTAACTCCTCCATACTCCAGGGAAATACAGTGATGCTTATAAAAGAAAAAGAACTTGAAAGCTCCCTTTAGGGTAAAATGCTTTATGCAAATATAAGGCATACTATGTCAGGAAAGAGAAATAAAGTTTCACAGAAACCTGTCTCTGACTTGATATTTCCCTTTCTGAATGTTTAAAGAACTTTTCAGGATAGTAACAGCTTGCAGTCAACAACCCTGATTCTTTTCTGGAGAGAAATTGACCTTGCCATTTAAATAGGCATGGAAGGGAACCAACGAGGAAAGGAGATTTAACTCTGTGAAGAAGAAAGGCCCAAGATTTCCTGTATTGCAGTCTTTATCTGAGTTGAAGAGACTATTACCAGGACTACAGATGGGTCTTTAAGGCTGCAGGACTTCCCAGAATGCTTTGAGGGTCAATTTTGTCAACCATGTGGCCTTATCAGACATCTGTTTGAATTGGCTGATGATCATATTGTCTTGATTCATATTTTGGGCCCTCTTGATTGTAAATCAATCATAGAGAAAACTGTATGAGAAGTGTCATGGGAGTGAGAGCAGAGAGGCTGGGGGCTTGGACAACTTGCTTTCTGTGAATGTCATGCCTGGGCCAAAGAACCAACAAGAGGTTTAACAATAGGTTTAACATAGTCCTGTCCCAGGCACTGGTTTGCAGTGGCTGTAACTACACAAACCCAGAACTGGTAATCTGAATTGGCCAAAAGGTAAAGACAAAGTAGCCAATTGGCATAACATTTCAGAATAAACATCTAATATAGTTTTTCTGTACAAACACAAATCTGGATTCCCATTTTTATAACTGATGACAATTTGCACACTTACTGCCAGAACATTCTTGGGAAACTCAATTGGGTTTGCAATGGAAAAAATGATAATTATTTTTATATATCTTCTTTTTTCTGCCCAGTTCTTTATAGACCTAGGTTTATCACATGGTGATCTCCTGTGCTTGGGCAAATTCATTAATCTCATGATATCATTTTATTTAGTATAAAATGGTCATTATTATTCTCATATCCTAGAGATTCTATAAAAATGAAACTCATAAAGACCTTGGCAAAGTTCCTTGTGCAATTATTCTTTCAAATGTCAGAAGGGCCCTTGTGCAGGGTTAGCCACTAAGATTCAACGGCCCGGTTAGTTCTTCTGTGTTCTCTCCCTGTTCCCCAACTCTCTAGTTCCAGACTCGAGGAAATACAGCAGATTGCTCCTGGACTGGGATCTCTGCACTGGCCTTTTCTCTGCCTAACAGTCTCTATCTCCAGTTCTGCTCAAGGCTAGTTCCTTTCCTGTGGCTAGGTCAGAGCTCAGCTACTGTGATTGAAAGAGTTTCCTCCCTAGTCACTGTCCCATTTCCTGTGGTACTTCTCTTGTGACATCTTCCATTTCTTAAGGTCAATCGTGTTTATGCATTGCTGCCTGCCTCCCCCCACCGTGTAAATTGTCTGGGAACAGCAATTTTGGTGCACTTTTCACTCACCAGAATCACGTCTGGCCAGTGGTAATGGCACATTACATATCTTTCCAAAAAAAACCCAGTTAATTATATAAAGCATTTTTTTAAATTTAAAAAATCCACAAGTGCTTTTTCTTACTAAAGGGATGCCGTTTGTTAGAGGTAAATACTCATTTGAGCTCATGAAGCCAGTTTGAGAAAGTCTTTCCTTTTTCTTTCTGTTTGTCTCCTGACTTGAACGCCCTTTTTCACTCCGCTTTTGTCTTCAAGATGCACAAGAACACAAAGCCCGGCATCAGCTTTTAATGCCTGCAGGCATTGCTGTGCCTAATTTATGAGGGAATGAGACCCATTCAGCCCCATGTTTACATCTACAGAGTCACCGATGAACTGGACACGAATCTGAACCACGTCGATTGTGAATGTTTGCTCTTATAGCTGTAAATGTGCAGCTGCATCTTTCCAGCTCTCAAGACACAAAACAACACTGCTGCCTGCTCCTGTTTTATAAACTGGTATTTTTATAGCCCTTGTCATTTGGACACACACTTTTGTGCATTTATTTTAATTATTATCCATGTTCTATCATCCTAAGGGTATGTGGTTTTATTTTTCCAAAAACTTCAGAACATTAGTCCTTTACAATAAATGAGTTTCAGTTTACTTCCAAATAAAATTTGTTATAGTCTGATTTTATTGGTGTAATTATCTAAAGTCCCTTAATTATCTTGTGAAAATCACTTTTCAAGCCAGGTGCGGTGGCGCACAACTGTAATCCCAGCATTTCAGAGGCTGAGGCAGGGGGATTGCTGCAAGTTCAAGATCAGCCTAGACTACATAGTGAACTCAAGGCCAACCTGAACTACAGGACAAGACCCTGTTTCAAAAAAAATCAATTTTCACAATAAAAATCAAGATGATAATAATGTGATTTAAATTATGGTATTCCTTACAACTAGATGATGCATCCTTGATATCTTTATTTATGTGAGTTCCTTTATTTAAAAGAGCATTCTTAAGATAAATGATGTATTTGCAATAATCATGGTTAAGGGCATTAAAAAATGAGTAATTTATAACTGATGTTTTCTGACAACCTGTGTGATAGGACATTCACATTAAGACTAGCAGTACAGGCACTAGTTCTAACTTGCTAAGGGTTTTCATCAAGAAGAAATCAATACAAAAGAAGAGACATAAAATGTTTCCATGTACATCTGAAAAACTGAAAGTTCTGAAGTTCTAAATACTCATAATTTCAAATGTAATGTCTACTTCGGTGAGTGGCACTGATTTAATCTGCAGGTTTTGTTTTTGTTTTTTAATATATATTTTGATACCTGGAATTGAACTCATGACCTTATACTTGCCAGGCAAGTGCTTATGCCATTAAGCTATATCTCTGGCCCTTGTTTTTTTAATATTAAGTCACATAAAAGGTCTCAAACAAACAAATCAAAAGCTTTGAAATTTAGACTGTGACCACCATTAAGAAAATACAGAAAAGGCACAGGTAGATTTTTAAAAACTATTTTAATACAAGATTAATAGCAATTTTCTATCCAAATCAGAAATGAAAAATCTTAACCCAAATAATAGTTGTTTGACAGTCACATAAAATTTTAGGTTTGATTGGTGCACACATTGATCCTGCACATATGGATATGCACACAGAGACCTCACTAAGATGCCATCTTCAGGTTTCTCTCATGGAAGTGCCTCATTACAAGGCCAAGCCAGCGACTCCAGTAACCACTCAGCTTTGAATGAAGTTCCAAATGTTTCCATGCTACACTGAGGCTGCTGTAGCAAACCGCGATAGAGCGTCTCCAGAATGCGTACAAATCAACACTGTTTGTATAAGTCGGCCTCAAACTAAACACTGGCTAATGTCACCCCCAAAGAGGAACACACTGCAAATGTACAAGTTATGGTCTCCTTTACTTTTCTGTCGGCAAAGCTACTGCTTTCGTTTCTTTAATTAAAATTCAGGTCTATTAGCGATTATAGTCAATGAAGAGGAGTTTGAATTTTAGCAAGTTTAAGGTGAGTCCAAACTTGTATTTGCTAACATTTGACCATCGATCAAACCACCTGCTCATGAGCCTTGCAAAGAGAAATCATAAAAGAATCACAACTCAGGAATTTGCTAAGTTTCATTCCTCCTTGGGGGATGTTAGCTGATGTTCAGTCTGTAGCCAAAAATGTGTATGTAATGGCAAAAGAATTAAAGTAGGCTAAGGTCTGCAGCAGGGAATATAAATTATCAGGGTTCTGCATCCAATAATACTTTCATTGTGTTTGATTTAAAGAGTATTACTTTTTAAACTATTACTTCTTGTCTGTGAATAATAGTGTTTTTCAGTGTAGACAAAATAGTATTTTCAATCCCTTACATTTGAAGCCAGTGATAATACTTAATTATCCTGTCTGGGTCAGTCACTGTAAGGGAGTGCTTACATTTCATAATGGGTACAATCAATGTGCCAACATCACCTTCATTCAAATGACAGAAGGTAGTCAAGCTGTCCTTCAGTACAGAACCAGAGTTCTTCGTAAATTTGCAATTCATCCTTCTCTGCTGAAGACTTTAGCCTCTGTTTGTCTTTTGTTGTAACATATACAAAGTATAATATACATCAATCACAGACGTGTATTTCTGTTAGAAAAATACATATTGTAACTAAAGAACATGTAAATAGAGGCACTTCAATAAGCTAAGTGTTTGCAGTTATGAGCATCCACCCACCAATTTCTGGTGTCCGATTTCAGTGAGCCCATTCCTCTCTACTCATAACAGAAGGTATGGTGTGGTTACAGAATTTAGGGGAGTTCAGAACTAATGAAAGCAGGTCTTAACAGAAAATGGAGCATCATTGAATTCCCTGTCCCTATGCTGAAGTGAGAAAAATTAATTTGGGAGAGGGATTCCAAAACACTTACTGGAAAGGGCTAACTAGATGAAACTAAATCCTCTAAGGGCAGAAAAAAATTCTATGTTAAATTGATCCAAGAATCATATGACCTTATTAAGATGATGATAAAAACCAGGAAGTGCAGTTGAATAATATTGCGACCACATCCATGCAGGGTGACTAATATTGTGGCATCATCAACCAAGACTCATTCCAACTCTCTGCCCAGCTCATATGCATCGCTATATCTCATCAGTGGGAATATTACTGATAGTGAAGGTGTGGAAACAAATGAAGCAGGCGTTTATATATTATCTGTGGTTAGTGCATATAGAACATGGGTTCACATTCATTAATATAATGTGTTTTCATACACATGCACAAAACCATTTTGGGGTGACAGCACAGGAAAAACAAGACATCCTGATCTATTTCAGTGAAGACAGTACAGAAATATTTAAAAAAGAAAAACTTGGAATTTAAAGCCATATAAGCAAGATATTCTGGAAAATCAAGGTTGATTTAATTTGTATTGCACCTTAATGATTGGAGAAAAACAATACTGATTTTTGAACTTAGGATGAAATGAGCAACATAAATGACTTGTCCTTCATAGAGATGTGTTATACGTAACTGGTGACAGGAAGCCGAAGGTTGGCATGGGATGGATGGTTTTCTAGAAGCGTGTAATGTTGAATTGGCTGAAGTGTTAATTTCACAAAGGTTTAAATGAAAGATGCCACAAAGTCTCTCAGAATCCTACACTTTTTATTTCCTTAGGCATAAAGTGGCAACAGATGCTTGTAAATACTTCGTTTTGCAAAAGTGCTCGAATATACTTAATACTATTGTGCCGCGTGTGTTCTACTTAAATGTGCTGACTAAATCAATAACTAATTTTAATTTTGATGAGAACAGAGATCAAAAAATACCATTTACGTGTCAATACTGTCAGTGAGTTTAGTTACAATGTGACTGGCATACTACGGTGTCTTGACACATTACTTTTCCCTACTCTGGATGCATCACAAAAAAGCAAGGAACACATGGGTACCAACTGTATTCACAAAGCCCTGGTTTGGTTTATTTTGCTTCTCTCTGCCGGGGGAGCATTGGGTCTGGCTTTGGCATACTTGGTGGATATGTTAGGCTGTGGCTGTAAATTGGCCTCTTGAGTTGGTCTCATGTATCCAAGTGCCAAACAGGAATCCTAGGCCAGAGGTGTTGTACGTAAAAGCAATGGTGTTGCATGAATAACATTCTTTATACAACACGGTTTCCCTCACCAGTAAAATCCTGCACACCCATGGCTGGTCCCATGAGCTCAGCCCAGGTAGAGTACCAGGGACAAAGCATGCTCATGCGAAAAGGATGTGCCCTTGTAAACTTTTAATAGATGGACAGTTAGATACGTAAAAAGTTCTTTCTTGATTCTTGGTGCTCACAGGTCATTGAGGAATCTCTTCTCTGAGCAGCACAAAACAAGAAGAGCTGGTTGACAAAACATTTTTGTTACAAAGGTGTGTCAACCCTGAGCTTGGAATTAAGAAGTTAAAATCTGTGATTTATATATATAGATATAAAAATAGATGATCATACTAAGACTAAAAAAGTGAAAGAAATCTCTATGTCCATACTATATATAGTTTTTTTTTTTGTCTTGACTTTTTGTTGTTGTGAGTTATTTTGTAAGAGAATGCCCTTGTGATGGAGAAACCAATTGACACAAAGCAAATAGTTAAAAATCAAAGCTCAACTATGGATCTCATTGTTTAACAATTCAGCAAAAAAAGTCATTTGGGGGAGGGTAATGAACACAGGGGCAGAATCACTGAATTCATGTCAAACCTGTGGCAAAGGGAGAGACTGTATCATTGAAGATGATTTTCCAGACCTGGGAGGAGGATGAATTTACGGGGCATCCATTAATAACTAAGAAGGAAGAAAATCTGTGCCAATTAGCTACAATGGGCAGACACTGGGGAGGGGGGTGTCAAAAAATGGTGCCATTACTGAAGTTGAAATTGGGCAGGATGACAGAGAGGTGCTGAGTTATAGTTAGTTTTGCTTTCATATTCAGGATGGAATTCTAAATTTAGGATCAGTACCTCCAAATCAATTTGATATTATATGATTAGAGTGCAAGACGGTACCTCCAAGACAACAGTGTATTTTCACTACATTTTAAAAAATTTTAAGCTTTCTCCCCAGAAGCAGTTTTATAACCTGATTTGTCACTGAAAAGCTTACCCTGGGAGTTGGCTGTCAGTGTAGAACCTATAGCATTAAAGTTCTTTATTTTTCTCTCGTTGCTTCTTTGTTGAAAATGTGGTTGTCTTGGGGTTTGGCCTGATTTTAAAAGGAAAATTATTTTCTTCCTAACTTGTTTTATGAGGGAAAGAAAAAAAAAAACTCACAACGTGAGATTCTTTTACTTCTGCAGCATAAAAGCAAATGAAGGTAAGAAAATTTCCTGGTACGAAAGATTTGAGTAAGAATTCTCTCTGGAATAAACGAGGTCCCCACACATAGCTGAAGGAAAGAGGAAGCAGTTCATCTGGCACCCGGTACTCTTTGGGAAAACAAAAAGGGAGGCAGATCGCAGGACTGCTCTCTTCTCATAGAAAACGGTAAGTTTTTGTGGCATGGTCCATTGTCCGAGAGTATAAGAAAAGAAGGGAGCTGGCCACTCAGACAGCTAAAATGCAGTTTCATCCGACCAAAGCCTAGGATTATCTGCACAGTCTCTGCAATGCCAGGACCACACAGACCATAGACCAGGAGAGCAGTGAGTAGCCGAGCTGGGCTGCAGAAGAGTCCTCTTCCCTCCTGTCAGGGTCAGCTGCAGGGGCCTCTGTGGTGACAAACTCGAACTCTGTGGGACACACATCATCCATGCATCCGCTGCCGCTTCCTGAGCCGCTAGATTCATCGCCTGGCGTGGAAAGATTGAAGAAGAATTAAACCACACACCAGGTGAAGGCAGAAGCAAAGCACGTGATGGAGCTGAGCATGTGGGTGGAGGGCCTCTTCCGTTCCTGGGTTCCCCAACAAATCCCGCTGGATTTACACCCCAAGAGTGGATTTGTGGCCAGAAGGTGGGATGTATTAAAATAGATGATTGAAACCCAATATTAATGGAGATCCAGAGTCATTGCCTACCATGATGGCATTAGGAAGATATTTTTCTCCTAGCAAATATTTAAATTGCATAAAACAGTTCCATTCCTTTCTCTTTCTGTATTTCAGAGTTGTTATTCTTAGCAGATAGCATGTTTTTGAAAGGATTTTTTAAAGAATACTCTAAAGGAAAACATAGAGTAGGGAAATGAGCACAGCAGGCAGGAAACTGGAGAAAAAATAGTGAAACAATATAGCAGGTAGAGATTATCACTACTATATGACTGTATCCCACATTCCTATTACTCTTGATATTTCCCTCCTAAGAGTAAAGATGGACTCAGTCAACCTGTGTCTCCCTCTAAACCAAAGGTTGACAAGCTACAGCCTGATGCTTAGTTTGATACAGCCCATACCCTAAGGTCAATCTTTATATTTTAGACCTTTGATAGTAAAGCAAATGAAGAACACTATTTTGTGACATGTAAGAAGTGACTATATGAAATTCAAGCTTCTGTGTCTATTTATAAAATCTGGCCAGGACACAGCTGTACCTGTTCACACTCCTTCCTTGAGTTGTAAGAGCAGAGTGACAGGGATCCTGTGACCCTCAGCACCTGACCTGCCTAATATCTGGCTCTTTACAAGAGGAGCTGTCCTTTCCTTGCTGGATACCAACGCCCAGGTGCCCATTCAGTGTGCTGTCTCAGGGTGGTGCCTTTCTTTTCTCCCATGCATGTGCGTTGGTCCACTCTTTTCTCACACTTCTCTTCTTGGTTGTCTTCTTGCCTAATAAACTGTCTCTTGGACCTGGCCCCAGATTTACCTGCCTCAACTGCAGTCAACACTTTGTCTTTGAGAACTTTGTCTCTGTGGCTTTAATCAAGTACATAGTACAAGTTACATAGTCCTATAAGGCTTGCCTCTGTATCGAACAAGTACAGACATCTTTTCTTATTATCAATCATTCCCTAAACAATGCAGGGTAACAGCTATGTACATAGCACTCACATTTCATTATGTGTTCTAAGAAATCTAGAGATGATTTAAAGTATATGGGAGGATTTGTGTAAGTCATATCAAATACTAAGCCATTTCATATAAGTAATTAGAGCATTTGTGGACTGTGGTATCTGTGGAGGGGTCCTGGCACCAATCTTCCACTATATGAAAGCACTTGTCACCACCTGAGATTGTGTTATCTGTTACTGTTTACTGTCTGTCTCTTCCACGAGAATACAAATACATGGAAGGAGGAAATTTGTATAAATGTTTACTATTTCTGGATTTCATGCTCCCTGGCATACAGCAGTTGCTCAGTTAAGTAAATGAATGTGCCTTAAGCAATTGACTCAATTTTTGCTTTCTTGTTTAACCAACATGGGTCAGGATATTTGTTTTGGAAAGTGTACATGGAGACAACTTGATAAAATGCCCAAAGGCATCAACTTCACTGCTGTCCCTCATGTCTGGTGGAAAAAATATGTCACCAACAGCAAAATTCTAAAATTCAAGTGGCCACAGTTCATTAAAATGCTCTAGAATAAATAAGTTAGCTTCACTGTGGCTCCATTCCCTCACTTGCACAAATAAAATTAATAATAACACTTTGCAGAATTGTTATGGGCAGTAAACAAGAAAATGTTTCTGAAAGGACTCAAGAAACTGCACTTTGCAGTAACATTTTCCTTTTTCCCCATTTACTCCATGATTCCTCTCAATATCCCTAAACTCCTCCTGCTACATGATCAGCTGAAGCACCCCAACTGCCCCCAAAGATTGGAGCCATCTTGCCTACCAGGCCATTTAAGTAAAGCCACAGAATGTGTGGGGGGTCTTCTATCAGGATAAAGATACAACTTACTAGCATTTTTTTTCAGATGGCATACCGAAATACCAGAGAAGATCATTTGAATATGCTCTACTAGGTTCTTAACATTTTCTCTGCTTTATCTTTAGTGGCCTTTACAAGGGAGAGAAATGCCCAGTAATTAAATTCAGAGACATCAAAATTGCTAAGGGAATTGTTCTGAGTGCAAGTATCACAAAGAAGAAGTAATATAACCTTTACAAAGATATTATTAAAGTGACTTAGAATATTAAAAATGTGGGAAGCAAATAATGACAGGAGCTTTTGACTAGGAAAAATAATGGTTCCAATTCTTTATGAAAAGGAATCACAAATGCAGGTATTAGGGGTGGGGTGGGCACTAAAAAAATGCCACAAGCAGGAAGGGTGAAGATGGCTCTGAGACGCGATGATGGTTTATGTGATTGGTATTAACCTAAAATAGAGGGCCAAGTACGCTTTAACTATTGTTGATTTTCCCTTTCCTTTTAGGGGAAGCAGAGCAAGATCTCTACCTCCTGGACATTCCTTGGGATTTGCATGCATGATTGATACATATGAGACCTGGTTAGATCAGAGAGGAGCAGGAAACAATAAGGATGACACCAATTAATTCTTCTTGTATGAATTTATTCATTCCAATAGTCACTCCCAGGTAAGAAAGCATTTTGTTACACGCAGAAGATAGAATGGATAAAATGAACACAGTGGGCTAAGTAATGGTAATCATTAAGCTCTACTGGATCAGCTTGATTGACTTGGGAACAGCCCAGGGGACTTGTAGAGCATACTTCTGGGTGTTCCGGAAGGGTCATGGAGGTGTAACCTTGGGTCCTAGGTCTGGACCCCTGCCCCTTCGTCTCTGACATCGTTCTGCTCTCCTTCATAGCTACCATGAACTGAGCAGGTTTGGGCTACCACACCCTTTCACACTGATGTTTCTGCCTTGGAGCCAGTGGACCATGGACTGAATCCCCTTAGCATCTGAGCCAGATTAAAGTTCTCCTCCTTTAAATTGTAGGTATTGGGAAATTGTGTCCTGCAATGGGAAAGCTGACTAATCCACAGATGGGAATAAGGAAGACTAAAATCTGCTGTAACATTCTCTTCTTGGGAAGAAATGAGGGATTTAACTAAGAGGAAGAGATAACAAATGGCTGTCAGAAATTTGGAAGCCAATGAGTCTGTCAGGTTGGTAATTATCCTGTATTTAGAAAATTAATCTTTGAGTTCTTCAAAATAAAGTAGAACACTAAAATTTTTCTTCAGGGGACAGTTCAGTAAAGACTAAGATGACTTAATGTCTTCCATCTGTAAGTTGTTACTTTCTGTCTCATTAATTTAGGCACATAGGTATCATCTTTTGCTTCAGTGACCAAATTACAGAATTACTGGCAACTTCACATCATATGCTCAAGAATTCTTTTCCAAGGAGTTCTCTTTGTAAAGGTGCACAGTTAAGAGAAGACCAATACAGCCAGACAGACAGACACACACACACTCTCTCACACACACACGCACATATACATATACACACACACATACAGGCACAGACACAGGCACCAATACAGACACAGACACAGATAGAAAAGACAAATCACTTAGGTGAAACCCAAATAGGATTTCTGAGATGTGAGCAGTATGGATATGCCTCAACTTATGATGGAGTCACATCTTGATTAACTCACTGTAAGATGAAAATATCTTAAGTTGATAATGCATTGAATATATCTAAACTACCCATTATCCTAGTTTAATAACTCTCTTTGTTACTTTTCTTGTTGCCAAGACAAAAATATCCAACACTTAAAATTAAAAGAAGAAAGACTTATTTCAGCTTACAATTTGTAGAGGTTTCAGTTGGCTGACTCCAAGGCAAGGTGGCCTGACAGAGGGGCATTGCGAAGGAGAAACAGTTCATGGCAGAGCAGGGAAGGCAGAAGGCAGCTGCAGTAGCAAAATTTTGTTCCTTATATTTTAGCCAGATTACCTACCTTTAGGGTGGGTAGCACTCACAACCGAGATGGGCAGCCTCAGTGCTAGCATAGCACCATGAATCAATCCTAGCCTCACATCCTTGATCCCAGTAGCACACACCCTAGATCCAGCCATCTCTGAAAAACTCCACCCATGACAGCAGGAAGCTTTGGGAGGATATCTAACCACAAGCCATCACAATAGTACAGGGCACCACTGAGTGTCAGTTGTTTTCCCTCATAATCCTGCTGACTTGGGGCTGCACCCACATAGCCTCCACATAGCACGATGAGAGAACACTGTATTGTATATTGCTATTTTGGGGAAAACTCCAAATTCAAAATGTGAATGGATGCTACTGAATGTGTATGGCTTTGGTGCCATGGTAGAATCAAAGAATTGTAAGTAGAGCCATCACTTGCTGAGGGTCATCTGTAATTTATTCAAGATGCCAGCTTACAAGCATAAGATGGGGATGTGAGCCCAGCTTGTCTAAGCAATCTGCAGACTATTCTTTTGGCAATTGCATCAGTCAGTATTTTTCTCGCTGTGCCTAAATACCTGAGGAAAATAAAGGAGAAAAGAGGTATTTTGGCTCATGGTTCCCAAAACTTCAGTCCATGATCAGCTGTCACTAAGACAGAAATATTATGTCACAAAGCATGGTGGAGAAAGGCTGTTTTTATAGCCACCAAGAAGCCGATGGAAAGGGAAAGAGCCAGAGAGGAGGGCGACAGGGGTAAGGTATAGTCCTCAAGGTCACACCGCTGTATCCCTTTACTATTTATTTATTTATTTGACACTGGGAATTGAACTCAAGACCTTGCCCTTACCAGGCAAGTGCTGTGCCATTGAGCTAAATTCCTGACCCTCCCACTCTCTTTAAATAGGCTTTACTCCCTAAGTTCCATCCAGTAATACCGTCATCTTATGATCCCATCAGTGAATTAATCCACTAGTAAATCTAGAGTCCTTGGGAGTCAATTACCTTCTGACAGCCTCACCTCTAACCACTGGACACTCTGAGGGGGCATTTTAGAAACATGACAATGGTGTTGTGAGGGAGGGAAGAGACGTTTGGGACAGATATAAAAACACTAATGTAGAAAGGAGAAGGTGAAAACACAGGCCATGGAAACTATTAAGACTGGCTATGATTTATATAGCTTAAGTTTTACACATTAGACTATAAAATTAGAGGAGCATAAAACATAATTAGAGACACACCTTGCTCTTGTAGACAAACAATGGTATAATCAGCCACAACCACCTTCCACTCAGGAAGTTACTGGGAAAGGTTTCCTTACTTGTGTCTTGGAAGTTGACATCATTGCCATTGTATGCATTCTTCAATTTGTTGGTCATCACGCGGAGAGCCATGATCTGCTGTCTGATGAACGTGTCAGGCCGAGTGATGTCCACATCCACCTCGGGGTTGTTGATTTGGTTGGTCAGCCCGTCATTCATGATCTCAGGTAGGTATCTGCGGGGAGGAAGGAAGAAACGACAGGTCAAGGTGACGCAGCGGGTTCCTCAGAGTCTGCCATGGCAGTGCTCAACAGGGAGCCAAGCCACTGGGCCCAAACTGGATTTGATTCCCGCAAAAAATGCCAAGGAGTAATATGCATTTCCTCAGAGGGAGATGTGACTAAAACGGCTGCAGGCTTGGTTTTTCAATGGCAGTGAGTTATTAGGTAGGCTTCCTGTTTTGAAAGTGCTACACTGAGGACTTAGAGAGACAGTTTCTTAAAATACTCTTCCTCTCTCCATCCAAAAAGTCACACAGCTCCAGCCAAGGACCACATGGCTTCCTCAGTTCTCCTCTTCATTTTGGTGTGAAGAATTGGAGCTAGAAACAATACAGTGTCTTGGAGAGAGTTCTCTTGTAGAAGGAGACTCTTCCCACGGAAGGTACCTTACTTCAGATTGTAATTCAAGGAAATTTCTGGGTCTCTTTATGTATCTACATATTTACCTATATACCTATGTATGTGCCATATGTGCATACATCTATGTCTATTATCTGTCTATCAGTTATCTATCCATCTACCTATCTATAGTCATTGTCTATCATCTATATCTTCTATTTTTGGGACATTTTAGCAGTAGCCCGTGATTGCTGGCATGTTTGAAATGTCTATTATGGTTTTTATTTTGTAATAGAATCTCAGGTGTAACTTGGTAGACTCACCAATATCTGATAAAATAGAAGGGTAACACCTAATGCTCCTGAGCCTACTTTTTCTCTTGCTTGTGCCAAAATGTCACAGTTGTCAGCCCTCCAACATCCACTGCCTAAAGCTGTCCTAGGGTCTCCATGCCAGTGCAGCCGGAGCCCTCGGAAACTCACTCAGAGCCTGGCCGTCTCCCTTGCACACCTGTCAGTTTTCTGGTTTACTAACTCTGTGTATCAGGAATCTTCACACACCTGCCTCTTCTTCCCCTCCCCTGAGTCCTTGCCTGGAGTGTGGCTGGCTCTGGTGGCCTCAACTTGACTTCCTTGTGCCTTCTACCTTTCCCTGCGTGGCCTGCCCATGCATTCTGATTAATCTGCCACTCTATCCTGTCACTCTTCTGTTCAAAGACACTTGAGATAGTAGCAGGTGCCCACTGGACACTCAGGGAGGTCCTTGCTGAATACGCCACATGTATTTTGAAATTCTGTCTGTCAGCCTATTTAGGAGATAGGTATAAGTTTATTCCCTTTTATGAAATAGAAGACTGAGGCTTCGTGAAGGTAAGCCAATGTGCAATGCAACAGGTGGCAATGCCAGGTTCTAATCGCAGTCTGGCTCCAAAGCCCGTGTGCCCCAACGCCACCCGCTACTGCTGGGTGGAACAACTACAATTCACACATCACAGCTCAGGCTTCTGAGTACATCTGTGCCCTGCTCTGCTTTCGTATGCTGCAGTACTGACTCTGAGAGAGCCTCTTTGTCTTACAGGGTCTGCTCCACTGTGCTGGCCAGGTTGGTTAAACTGTGAAATTCACATTTGATCTTCATCCCTTCTACACTCTTCCCAAGACAGGCAGTAGAAACCAGAATTTTTCTTCTTTGAGGCGGTTATAGAAACTCTAATCTTTCCCTCCACCTTTCTTTTGGAGCTGGATATAAGGAAAGTCTCTAATCCCCTTTGTCCTACACTGGGCCAGGGACCCTCTGCATCCTGTAGGGGTCCCGCCCTGTATCCTGGAGGAAGGCTGAAGCAGACAGGCCTTGCTGGTTTCCCACTCAGTCTATTAGTAATCATGGCTGTGCAACAAAACCTCCTTAAAACACCCAAAGGACAGAGTTCAGGATCTTCCCGATCGAGGGAAACCTGGCAGTTCCTGTAGCTGGTGCCCAAAGAGGGCAGGCAGCTCTGAACCCTTTCCCTCCATGCCAGCCTATGCCTTCCTTCATCTGTATTCTTTGTGATGTATTTTATAGTAAACCACAAAAGTGCTCTTGAGTTCTATGAGTCACTCAAGCAAACCCATGCAGCTGGAGGAGGGCTAATGGGACCTCTGATTTGTAGCCAGTCAATCAGAGCACAGGGAAACAGCTCAGGGCCCGGGACTGGCATCTCACACTGGGGGACAGTCACAGGACTAAGCCTTCAGCCTGTGGGACATGTGACATGGTCTCTGGGCAAATAGTGTCCCAACGGCATAGATAAGAGGACCCCCACCCCCACCCCGGGTCTGCCTGCTTGCTGGTGTGGAGAAATCTCCAGACTCTGGGGGAGAGTCTGTGAAGATGGTGGAGGCCCTGTTTTTAATCAACACATTGTCCCAAAGGGTTTTGTTTTGTCTTGTCTTTAATATACTTTCCCATTTAATGCCCAGAGAGTCATAAAGACCCAGCATCGTTCTCACTTTTTCCTAAGCTAACTATTTTTTAATCAAAAAAATTTTTAGTGCACGTTTACAGCACACAATGATTTCAGCTCTCAGAGATCGGCCCACCCTTTGTAATGCTGCCAGGTTCAGTTGGGCGTTCTGTGCACTGCACAAAGTACCTCTCCCAGCTGAGGGAATGAGTTGGTGCCGGTGTTCAGGCTCAGTTCTGAGGTCACCAAGCTGTGCCCATGTCGGGTGCTACTCATCGCTCTTTCCTCTTTGGTAAACTTTTTAATTTTAGAAATTCCAATACACACAAAAGAAGACACAGTAATATCATGAACCCCAGGAGGCGCTGTCCATCAATCTCTAAAAGAGGCACTCCACAGAAAAGCTTTGATACTTAAGCCATTTTTCAAGGTGTCAGATCATATGCAAGATGTATTTGTGTGTGAACTGGTTTATCTGTTTTAAATTAGAGACCCTCAGAATAAGCTCTGTTTTCAGCCATATCTTGGACAAAATTGACTTCACAATGTTCACTAAATAATGAAAAATAAAACACATGGAGTGCGTTGTCAATTCTTTTCCATGAAAGCTTCAAATATTATTGTCCCCCCAAAATGTCCAAATAGAAATTTCAGAAACTGTGGGCCCACAGCTCTTTATTTTTGCAGTAAAGCATAACTTACGCCTTTGACTATATTTGGTTTATAAATAAGTTCTTGCAGGCTCCTGAGACAGTCTTGTTGGTATAGCTCTAATATATGACATTGGATTGACCTTTATTGATGTGAAATTATATGTGCTGGGCTCCCAGAGCTCTGCCTATCTGTGATGCCACTGGAATAAGTGACAGATGCAGGCCATCTGCAGTGGACACCAGCTCAGAGGGCTGCACAGGCAAGGCCAGCGCTACGTTTCTCCTCCTCATTGTGGACTGAGTCTGATTGAACCTGGACTGTGTCTCTCTTTATCCTGCATAACCTGCTCAGCTCACTGAGCCTTGCTCATCAGCTCCTCACTGCAATCGTTGGCCTGGGACACTGCCCTGGGAATCTGAACATCCAGGGACGGTGAGAGGCTGCCGAGCCAACCCAGATCTCATGGCATCACCGATGCTTTGTCTCTTACCATCCAAGGAAGCATAACATGTTTCTCCCCGTGCCCAGAACCTTTTCTCCTTTCCTGTGTTTAAAGGATTGTCTTAGAGGCAATGTGGAAATTTAAACCTGAAGTAGTTGAAAAAGAAAACGGTCATTTTTGCCATCCTGAGGGAGATAACTCCAGAGGCTGAACTCATGAATGAGTCCCTGAGCAGCTGAAAGGGTGGGGTCCCTGAGCTCCACACCAGAGCCTCAGGAGCCCATGCATCTGTTGCTTTTCATGCTTTGTCTTCCAACAGAAATCCCATCCCCTGCAAGACTCGGCTATTAAAAATCCTGCATTATCAGTGGAAGTGTACATTGTTGCGTCCAGGAGGCTTCTCCTTTAGCTTCTCCATAGCCCTTGAATGTGACAGCACGGTGTTTTTGCACTGTCGTATCTCTGGAGATGTAGCAGGAGAGCCCTGGCACAGGGAGCCCGGGTCCCAAGGTTGGGTGTATGTGTGTTGGAACAGAAGAAACCCAGAAGCAAGGACAACCAAGCGTGTCATTGTCTGCCAGTGCTTCAAGATATGATGTGGCAAGCAGGTGGCAAGGAGCACAGCCATGCATAGCCTCCTCATTTTGGCTGGCTTCTGTTTGTAGGGCATGACAGAAACAACTTGTGACAGTTTTGCAGAATTATTTGTCTTCATGTTTAATTTCATACTGTTGATGTAGGCTCTTTGATTTTTCTGAATTAATAGCCCATTGGGGTGGAAGAGTCCCATGAGAATGTGGCAGGGGAAATGACAACCTTGTGAGTGGCTGCAGTTGGAACCTTACTGGTGAGGTGACAGCTCTGTCACCCAAGAGACGGTAAATGCACTTGCACCTGCCAATTTCCCACAGGTTGACCACTGCAGCAGCCATCCTCACCCTGGAATCACTTCTTATGGTTCTGCTGAGGAGTCCAGAAGAAGTCCATTGATACCCAAATTGCTTGTTGGGAGGAGAGGCTCGATGACTTGGCATTCAGTGTTTCTCATCCACACCTTCAGGCTGGTAGTTGTTCTGACATAAGAAGCTATGTATGAGGAAAGGGACGTGTGCCCTCAAGATTGGGAATTGAAAGATAACATAACAGTGTCTGATAAGGGAGGCAGGAGCTGCCCAGTAGGTTCAGCCTGAGAGGAAGCCGAGGCTGGGAGGAGGAATTGCGTATCCAGCTGCTGGCCTGGGCTTTGACATCTCCTCAAGGTGCAATTGGAAGAATGTGGAGAAAGCACTCCACGAGTGACCACCGTTTACCACCTGGATCCACAGCAATGTCTAGCTCAGAGCTATGCATTCATCCTTCATCACAGTTTAAAGAGTCTTCCTAACTTAAGAAACTATATTGCCAATGTAGGTCCAGAATTCCTTGTGCGCAATTCTAAAATTTGAAAATCTCTGCAGTTGTTCCTACAATATATTGTTAGGAAAACTTCATGGGATTTGAAATGAGGCCAATGATAGTTTTTATTTATCCCACTTTTGGGATACTAATGCAGTTTCTGCAGAAATATTAGTGTA